AAAGATTAATCAAGTGATTGTTCAATGAGGACCCAGATGAATTAAAATAAAAAATTTAAATGCAATAATGTAAACATATATATATATATTATTTTTGCATAATTCATATTGAATTGTTGTGGTCCTTTGGATTTAAATAACAGTTGATGACCGTGAAAGAAGGACATTTCAACGGCTCGCTCACAACCATCCAATTAAGGCCGTCGGTAGCTGGTTTAATTGTGTTTTCATTTTTTTTCAAAAACATCAAAAATTTGCGAATTTTGTTATTTTTTTTTAATAGCTCACATTTTAGGAGAGAGTCAAAAGTTGTTTCTGAATCTCAAACAAGTTTGGCAAAAAAAATTTTTTGAAAAAAGGGTGGATGTTTTATGAACTTTCTGTTGTTTTTGTTCTCAAAAACATGGAAAACAAAAACACAACCAAACAGAATTTGATTATAAAAAAAAATTGTTTTGAAAATAACCCACTTTTAAGGAACTATTAAAAGGTTGTTTTGGAACTTTTTATTGATTTTGTCTCTGAAAACATGGAAAACGAAAACAAAGTGAAGAAAACTAACACAACCAAACTGAAAAACAATATGAATTACTAGTGAGTGTGAGATATGATAAACAGGGTAATATAGTGAAAGTGAAGGGCAAATAAGTAAGAAACAAAAGAACCAAAGCTACAAACTAATTTTACTTTTCAACTATAGAATTGTATATTGTTGGAAAATAATCGAGAATTTCTCTTCAAGGCTCCAATTGCTTGGACTAGATCTGAAGAGAAGATATGAAGCTTACTCTAGAGAGAGAGGGAGAGAGAGAGACTTTGCTTTGAAGAGAGGTTATGAGTCTCTATCTACAGTTGTATATACGTAGTGTGTATTTAAGTTCTTGAAATGGGACCCAATTTTTATTTTATTTTATATAGAAATTAGATGCAAGAAATACAAAAAAATATTAGTACCTCAAATTGATAGGGCTTTCACTATCATTCACAGCAAATAACCTTTAACAGCCACCACCGCAAACATAAATGCGAAGTCCACTGCTTCTGAAAGCACCCAAAACAAAAACAGAGTAAGAAACCTCAAAATCAAAAAAAATTAGATCAAATTGTCAACTAGGTTTGAAAGAAACAAGCAACACCTAAGTAGGGTATAAAGAAAGCAAAAAACACTAACCTTTAAGTCTCAGAAACAACACATTTTATCCCTTTTTGAAGCAGAAAGCAGCCCACAAAGATTGATCCTGAAATCTCTCTCTCTCCAAATGGAAACCCAGAAAAATTTCTTCAAATCTCTCTCAAGAAACAGCAACCCAGATTTACTTTTTAAGAGACAGAAATACCCACAAAATATTGATCCTAAAATCCCTCTCTCTCTCTCTCTCTCTCTAAATAGAAACCCTGAAAAACTACTTCAGATTAGATCTCTCTAAAGAAACACCAACCCAGAATTGAATTTTAAGAAACGGAAAAATCCAAAAAAAACTGGATCTTTAAAAAGACACACTATCACTGCTCTCTCTTCAGAACTGGAGATACGCAGAAAGCTTTGTCTCCTCAAGGAGAAGAGGACATGTAACGGTCAAAACATTTTTCAAAAATTAAAAAACTCAGAAGATCAGGAGAATCTTGAATGTTGAAAATGATAGTGAGTTTTGAAAAATAAGCAAAAGAAAGCAATCGAGATTTAACAGAAGAAGACAGAAACAGAACAATCAACTAAATTCAAAAAACCAAACCCATCTTCAAAATCTCTCTCTCTCTCGTAGAAGGAAGGTGACAGACAATGCTGAGCTCTCTCCTCGATTCTCTCTCTATAAATATATATTAATTAATTAATCAGTGATGAGAGAGAGAGAGAGATGGGGAATTGGGTTCGGACAGCAATCTTAAATGTCGAGCAAGAAATAAGATCGGACGGCTATTATCTGTGATGTAACAGTAAATCGGACCGTTAGATTGGTTGAAATTTTGAAAGTGCTTTTCGAATTTTTTTGGTTTACCGAGGAGATGACGTGGAGATTAGGCCACGTGTGTGGTGGGGACAGTATTAGTTTACTTTTAAAAGGTCAACAATGATAGAGACCACTAATTTTGGACCTCTAAAAAGACCACTAATGACATGACACTCAATAAAAAAAGAAAAAAAATACAACACCAAGATCAAAACATCAAATCATTCCTGGTGGGACCCACTACCACATCATTAGTGATAGCACTAATTAATACTCTCACTCATTTTCCTTAAAAGGTCGAGTATCACATTCGTAAGTGTACCACAGGTCAAGATGTTGACACGAGTGTACGTGAAATGACAAAAATGTCTATGTTGTGTTTTAAGATTTTTTATATATATATATTTTTTTTTTTTGTAAAGATTATGTTGGAAATAATGAACCCAGGTGGGTGGCCTTATGGTAAGAACATGGGGATTAAACCTTCAGGTCATGAGTTCAAATTTTCTTAGGTCAATTTTTTGGGCGTAGCACAGTTGGTTAGGAGGTTAGATCTCAAGTTGTCTAACCAATAGGAGGTTAGATCTCAACTTGTCTAACCAGCACTTGGTGTGGGTTCAATGCTCTCCCGCTGTACAAGTCTTACTTAAGCGGAGCTTGTCTTGGGAGGTCGAGGCAAGTTCTCAAGTTATAGTCTCCTCGCTCGGAACGGCTAACAGGATACCGTGGTGATCTCTACAAAGGGGCGCTGTCTTGAACCTGCGAGAGAGTAGGGAGGATTTTCCTGTAACAAAAAAAAATGTTGGAAATAATGTGAAAGTAATTATGATTTAGATTTCATGTATTTTTCATACATTTTTATAGGTTTTTAAATATTTCATACTTTTTTATATTTATATTTAGATTAATAACTAAAATATTTATATGTTTTTAAATAAAAATTTATTTTAATTGCGGGTGTTGATTTTTGATTTTATAGCCAAACTAGATATCCTAATTGAGATAATGAACTTAACCGTAGAGCACATGAAAAAATAAAAGAATGTTACAACCGCATAAAAGATAATAATAAACACTACGGTAATTCGTCTACTAGGGGTACTCTAACCCTTAAGTCAATCAACTTATTTTTCAAAAATATCGACATAAAATAATACTAATCCGAGCATACCTTAGACCTCAACTAATAACTTAGATCACGAATACAATTCTAAAAATATGTTCCCATTAGGGTTGTGCAAAAAAACCTCTCAATCTGTCAAAATCGCACCGATTCGTATCAATTTGCATTACTCTAACCACTAACTGCGGTATAAATTTTAAAATTTATAATTCGTCAACCGAACCGTTTCGCTCTGCTATAGTTAATACATGTATATTTTTTAACTTTCAATGAAATATCAATGTAACAATGAATATGAGAGATATTTAAGATATGAAATTTATTACAAATTAGTAGTTATATGAAACATATTATGTAAAATTATTTTGTGTTATATATACCACCGCAAACATAAATGCGAAGTCCACTGCTTCTGAAAGCACCCAAAACAAAAACAGAGTAAGAAACCTCAAAATCAAAAAAAATTAGATCAAATTGTCAACTAGGTTTGAAAGAAACAAGCAACACCTAAGTAGGGTATAAAGAAAGCAAAAAACACTAACCTTTAAGTCTCAGAAACAACACATTTTATCCCTTTTTGAAGCAGAAAGCAGCCCACAAAGATTGATCCTGAAATCTCTCTCTCTCTCCAAATGGAAACCCAGAAAAATTTCTTCAAATCTCTCTCAAGAAACAGCAACCCAGATTTACTTTTTAAGAGACAGAAATACCCACAAAATATTGATCCTAAAATCCCTCTCTCTCTCTCTCTCTCTCTAAATAGAAACCCTGAAAAACTACTTCAGATTAGATCTCTCTAAAGAAACACCAACCCAGAATTGAATTTTAAGAAACGGAAAAATCCAAAAAAAACTGGATCTTTAAAAAGACACACTATCACTGCTCTCTCTTCAGAACTGGAGATACGCAGAAAGCTTTGTCTCCTCAAGGAGAAGAGGACATGTAACGGTCAAAACATTTTTCAAAAATTAAAAAACTCAGAAGATCAGGAGAATCTTGAATGTTGAAAATGATAGTGAGTTTTGAAAAATAAGCAAAAGAAAGCAATCGAGATTTAACAGAAGAAGACAGAAACAGAACAATCAACTAAATTCAAAAAACCAAACCCATCTTCAAAATCTCTCTCTCTCTCGTAGAAGGAAGGTGACAGACAATGCTGAGCTCTCTCCTCGATTCTCTCTCTATAAATATATATTAATTAAATAATCTGTGATGAGAGAGAGAGAGAGATGGGGAATTGGGTTCGGACAGCAATCTTAAATGTCGAGCAAGAAATAAGATCGGACGGCTATTATCTGTGATGTAACAGTAAATCGGACCGTTAGATTGGTTGAAATTTTGAAAGTGCTTTTCGAATTTTTTTGGTTTACCGAGGAGATGACGTGGAGATTAGGCCACGTGTGTGGTGGGGACAGTATTAGTTTACTTTTAAAAGGTCAACAATGATAGAGACCACTAATTTTGGACCTCTAAAAAGACCACTAATGACATGACACTCAATAAAAAAAGAAAAAAAATACAACACCAAGATCAAAACATCAAATCATTCCTGGTGGGACCCACTACCACATCATTAGTGATAGCACTAATTAATACTCTCACTCATTTTCCTTAAAAGGTCGAGTATCACATTCGTAAGTGTACCACAGGTCAAGATGTTGACACGAGTGTACGTGAAATGACAAAAATGTCTATGTTGTGTTTTTAATTCATATTGATATATATATTTTTTTTTTTTGTAAAGATTATGTTGGAAATAATGAACCCAGGTGGGTGGCCTTATGGTAAGAACATGGGGATTAAACCTTCAGGTCATGAGTTCAAATTTTCTTAGGTCAATTTTTTGGGCGTAGCACAGTTGGTTAGGAGGTTAGATCTCAAGTTGTCTAACCAATAGGAGGTTAGATCTCAACTTGTCTAACCAGCACTTTTTAATAGCTCACATTTTAGGAGAGAGTCAAAAGTTGTTTCTGAATCTCAAACAAGTTTGGCAAAAAAAATTTTTTGAAAAAAGGGTGGATGTTTTATGAACTTTCTGTTGTTTTTGTTCTCAAAAACATGGAAAACAAAAACACAACCAAACAGAATTTGATTATAAAAAAAAATTGTTTTGAAAATAACCCACTTTTAAGGAACTATTAAAAGGTTGTTTTGGAACTTTTTATTGATTTTGTCTCTGAAAACATGGAAAACGAAAACAAAGTGAAGAAAACTAACACAACCAAACTGAAAAACAATATGAATTACTAGTGAGTGTGAGATATGATAAACAGGGTAATATAGTGAAAGTGAAGGGCAAATAAGTAAGAAACAAAAGAACCAAAGCTACAAACTAATTTTACTTTTCAACTATAGAATTGTATATTGTTGGAAAATAATCGAGAATTTCTCTTCAAGGCTCCAATTGCTTGGACTAGATCTGAAGAGAAGATATGAAGCTTACTCTAGAGAGAGAGGGAGAGAGAGAGACTTTGCTTTGAAGAGAGGTTATGAGTCTCTATCTACAGTTGTATATACGTAGTGTGTATTTAAGTTCTTGAAATGGGACCCAATTTTTATTTTATTTTATATAGAAATTAGATGCAAGAAATACAAAAAAATATTAGTACCTCAAATTGATAGGGCTTTCACTATCATTCACAGCAAATAACCTTTAACAGCCACCACCGCAAACATAAATGCGAAGTCCACTGCTTCTGAAAGCACCCAAAACAAAAACAGAGTAAGAAACCTCAAAATCAAAAAAAATTAGATCAAATTGTCAACTAGGTTTGAAAGAAACAAGCAACACCTAAGTAGGGTATAAAGAAAGCAAAAAACACTAACCTTTAAGTCTCAGAAACAACACATTTTATCCCTTTTTGAAGCAGAAAGCAGCCCATAGAGGTGTAGTGGGAAGAGTGTGGTGTATAAGGTTTATGGTGCGGAAGGTTGGCGGTTCGAGTCTTCGCAAGAGCGGATCAAATTGTTCTACAACGAATTATCGTCATGAAGTGCCACCTCGGGGGTTGGTAAGACCTTGATTACCTGAACTGGTTGTGCCAGTATTCACCTTTTTGGAAGGCGTAACACCGTATCTTCTGTTGTGTCTTTCCCAAAATCGCTTCTTTTGGCTTGGTTCCTCGAAACGCGAGGCTTTAATAATTTTTTCTACAATGTACGCTTGGACTACCCCTTCTGCATAAGTTGGCAGTTTCAAAACTTCAAGCCTATCTTTGATTTTAGCATCCAATCCTACTTCGAATTTTGTTTCTTTTCGAGCTTTGGTGGAGATGAAATATGTCGTAAACCGAGCGAGTTGTGTGAACTTGCTCTCATATTCGGCCAACGTCATGGTTCCTTACTTTAGATATGTGGGAACATATTTTGTGAATGACGACACGTGGCCAAGGTGACTTCGAAGTGTCAGCCAAGGCGCTAAGTGTCTTGGTCATGGTGTTGAGGTTGAGGATACCGGAATCCGAGATGAGCGGATAAGGGACAAGAGTCCTAGAATGGGAGAGGACCTCAGTCTGGATAAAAATAAAGCTCTTAAGGAGTTTATCTCTATCTGGCTGGGAGTCCAACATGAGCATTGAGCCAGAGTCCATTGAAGCTAGACTTCTATATAGACCAAGTTAGTGCTTGCTATAAAGTAAGGCACCCTCGTGGGTCTAAAGTATGCTTTTTATATTCTGGCTAGTGAGTTAAGCACTATTTGCTATCCTTGAGAGATAACAGAGTACTAACTTGATCGCTGGAGTGCCCCCGGGTGGACGAATCACCGTCATAGTCTTATCTTTCTATGATAGGTTGTTCGGGCGTGATCTATTCTGTCTGTGCTCTCCTGCTGAGTTTCTGTTTGGCAGTGTGGTCAGAAATCAGCACCTATAATTTGGCACCGTCTGTGGGAACGTAAGAAGAATAAATGGCCAACGATGGATAAAAAGAAAAGATTGGGGACGACATCTCTAGTGGGATTGGTAAAAACGCCAATCCTAACGTTGAGGAGGACAATTGTAATGAAGAACCTCGAGATAAGAACCCCGGGAAAAAAGACGTCGGCCAAGAGGGAGATGCATCGAAGAAAGCATGTCAAGACGGGTATTACAATGAAAGCGACCTCCAGGTATGGAAAAATAGATGCCTAAGGAGGGACGGCGAGATGAAGGGAATGGCAAACAAGTTGGCAAACCTACAATCGATTGTCAACTTCATGATGCAGAACAACATCATGCAGCCACCATTTTCATTCGAGGATATACCAATTCCAGCGGCTAAGAATGATGCCTAGAAAGGGGGACATAAAGCAATTCTTGCAGTCCCTTAGCATGACAGGGCAAAAGAGCATTCGCGTCGGCCTTCATGTGAGGTTGGACGAGGAGAATCGGTGAGAGGAGAGTCTTAGAAAACACCTCGTGCCAAGGAGACATACCTTAAAGAACAACAACATGTTCAAGGGAAGGAGCTCTGTTTCGACACTATGAATGAAGGGAGGTTCAAGAAGACTCACAATGACACTAGGAGTAGCGTACCAAAAAGGATGAAATTTGTTGACAACCGAGCTCCTGGACGAACTAAGGAAGATTTGAGGGACTACCTCCAGAGGAAGTGACAAGATGTCGAGGTCATGTCTCCGGTAAAGCCGAGAACACCATTCTCAGTGGAGTTGGATAAGTTCGAGGCTCTAAAAAGGTTCCATATGTCGAGGTTCTAGATATATGACGGTAAGTCCGATCCGAACTTTCACGTCGGTTTATATTTGAATTCAATGGCACTGTATACTAGGAACGAGTCGTTGCTCTGCAAGGTGTTCCCCTCATTTTTTGGAGAAATTGCATTATATTGGTTTCACAAGTTACCGAAAGGAATTGCGAACAGTTGGAAAGGCCTGGCCGAGATGTTTGTGGCCAGGTTTGTTACAAACAAATTGCAGCGGTTGAGGGTAGACTCCCTAATGGCTCTAAAAATTGGCGAGGGTGAAAGCCTCAGGACTTATGCCAAAGGGTATTACGAGGTGTTCAATCGAATACTAGGATGCAACCAAGAGTTGGCGATCGTATCTTTTAAGAACGGCCTAGAGGATGACTACATGCTTCGAAAGTCACTGGCAAAGACTCTGCTAAAGAGTATGGAGGAGCTTATGGCCAGGATCGTTGCGAGAGTAGAAGAGGATATGCTAAGAATAGAGACATCAAAACAAGAGAAGAGGAACGACTTGCCGAAGCGAAACTGAGGTAATACAAATTTTAGTAGATAAGAAACAAGACTGAAGGCTACACAGGCAATCACCACTGTGTTTTGGATCCCGGTTTATAAAGTCCTGGAAAGGATCAGGAACCAGCCGTATTATAGAGCACCAGAGAAGATTCTTGGCAAATTTATGGGTAGAAGCCTTGGGAAGCACTATGCCTACCACAATGAGAATGTGTACCTGACTTAGGGGTGCAAAGCCCTGAAGATGCATTTGGAAGATCTGGTTAGACAAGATAACTTAAGGGACCTAGTAGATGAGGCCAGAACAAGGGAAGAGCAGGCAAGGCTGCCCCAAGCACTGGCTACACCACCTCTACCAGCACCACAATCGCAAGCAGACAGACCTCGAGTGATCAATGTGATTCACTCAAGGGTCAATGAGAACGAGGTACGTGGGGAGACTTAGAGTGTGAAGCACTTACACCATGTGTATCAGGTCCAACAAAAGAGGCCTAGGACAAACGAGTGCTAGGGACCAATGGTGTCCTTCACTGAAGTAGACCTAGACATGGTGTAACATCCATATAATGATGCTCTGGTAGTGACCCTCAAGATTGGAGAATGCCAGGTAAGACGTATTCTAATTGACTAAGACAGCTCTTGTGACATCATATATGTCAGATGTTACAAGGAGCTCGGTCTTCACCAAGATGATTTGGAGCAGTCCGATAGCCCAATGGTCGAGTTCAATGGAACGCCGACATGGCCCTTGGGAGCAATAAATTTGGAGGTGTAGGTGGGCACTAAGAAGGTAAGCATAGACTTCACGATAATTGACACCCCCTTCTCTTATAATGTTATCTTGGGAAGGCCATGGTTATACGCAATAAGGGCTGTTTCCTCAACATTGCACCAGCTGTTGTGGTTCCCAATGGAGCATGGAATTGAGGAGATTAGAAGGGATCAAGCGCAGGTGGAGAATTGCTCCATGGTAGCAATGAAATCCACTTGCAACGTGCGAGAGCCATAAACAGTAGAAATTGAGGACGAGGACATGAAGGTCCTATAATGCCCTCAAAATAATACAAATAACCTAACTCATAAGAGAAATGAATATAACATAATTGGCACACTTTTACATAACAGAATTCGTATTACAAAAGGATTACATGCATTATACATTCACAAACGTTCATTCTAAATCTACAGCATGTAATGCAAATTAATAACAACAAATTAAATGCCCTACGGGCTTACATCTTTTCAAGACATATCTTGGTTACAATCAAAACTGAGTTTCGCTCATTACATGTTAAGCCCTGGGCTTTACAAAAATATACAATCAAAACGAGAAGTCCTTGCTTCCAAAAGTTTCTCCGACGCTATTGCCTTGGTGGAGGCATGCCATCATTACTTGAAAATGTTATTCCCAAGTAGGGTGAGCCACAGCTCAGTAGAAATCATCTAACACAGTATATGAAATTTAACAAAGGTATAAGTACACTATGCATATATAACGTCAAAGATAAAGGCATCCACATTTTGTATAGTCTTAAATTACCAAACTAAATCATTAAGTCATTCCCCTTCATTTCATTTAATTACATAAGCCAATTTCATCATTTCTCAACAACCCAAATGAGATTACAACTAGTTAGTTCTAGAATCACATTATAACATGAAAGCACTTCAAATTTTTCTTTCACGAATATTTCGTCCGCGGGCAACCGTCAAATGGGACCTATGTATTCTTTCACGGATATTTCATCCGCAGGTAGCCGTCAAACGGGACCCAGGTAAAACTAGGCTATACAAGCATTACAATTGCCATTTTATGGATATTTTGTCTGTGGGCTAAGCACCCATGTATAGTTTTGGGACTTTCACCCAAGACACTCCGACCAACTTAGTTATAATAGAGTCCATCCATTTTCTCCTCCCAAACAATCATTCATACATATGCAATATATTTAATCACAAACTCAAACAATGGAGCACATTCTCTTTCCACTCCTAAATAACCATATATGTACAATGTATATAAATATAGTCATATTCAATGACAAGCACAAGTGATTAGTTTCAATTCATCTAATCCGCATGCAATTTCTACAACAATCATAGCTATCATCCACCGATAGCCTAACACAGTTATTTCTAAACAGATATAAAATCTCATAACAGATAGTTTATTCAAAACTACCAAAGAATGGAGTAACACATAACCAAAACCCACCATTCATACCAATACCCTTTCAATTTCACATTTTCGATGTCAATTTTCATTATTTATACAAAATAATAATTTGATTTAATTATGGAAAATCCCTATTTTTCCCCAAATATCAGCCAAGTGCCAAAATCATCAAATCATACACAATACAACATCATTTTCAAACCGCTCAAGCATTTATTTCACCTTCATCCAAATACCCCTTTTTCCATTTTATGCCAAAGCACTAGGTTTGCCTTAAAACACCCCCAAATCACATTATTGTTACACAAGATACAAATAACTAAGCGAAATATCGTATAGAAGTGTAGAAAAGATCCCTACCTCAAGCTTAGATAAGAGAGAAGAGAGAAAAGCCCAAAAGTCAACGGCGACGAAACAATGACTTGCCTCGATCAAAACGAAGCCCTTGACAAGCTCTACACTTAATCTCAAAGAAGCAATGTGAAAAGATCACTCTAGGTGAGTAGATA